GGTAACCAAATCAGTCCTGTCCTCTCTTCCCTTCCGGTGGTGATGACTGAGCTCGGTTGGGCAGCAATGTTCCCGCAGATCTCGAGTTTCCCTTCCACTTTTCTCGCAAGATATGTGGACAACAGGCTAGTGATTGCACCCGCCGAAGTGCATAAAACAGTGCCTTTTCAAGTCTTCAGCCAAGAGACCTTTTATGGCTCTCCGATTGTACTTGAAGCTGTCGGTGATGGTCACTTTTTGGGATTTGACATCGATGTCCGAAACCGAACTGTTTACTATCTCCAGCCCAAGTTCCTTTGGCAAGTTCGACATCCCATGAGTGCAGGTAGCGATCGATTGCTGGTGTCAGGCGCGAAGTCGAGAATTTCTCTTATTCGCAAGTACACTTGGCCAACGTGTCAAGCGGAAGTAGCTGTCCACACTTTTGTACGGTGGTTAGCGAATCTTGGATACTCATATCACCTGTGTGAAGCTTTGATGAAACCGTAAAAGAGTGTCTGAGGTAGTCAGTTGATAGTTGACAGCGGACACACATGCAGCATGTTTTCATTTGAGTTCTTTATTTGTGAGAGACTTGCAGCTGTCGACGTCGCAGTGTTTTTGGCTAAGAGACGAGAACATCCTTGAAAGCAAGCATGTCGGCGGTGCCACCTTCGGATCCCAGCATCGATGAGTTCTTGAGAACGCTCACTCATTCAGCGCGTGTGAGATTGCTCAACTTTGTATCACGACCTCAACTTCGACAAGCACTTGTACTTCAATTGACAGCATTTGTGCGTGAAGGTACAGAAAGAATGCTGCAGCAAGAGTTGCGTCGTTTGGATGAGAGGGATAGAGCAAATCTGCGTGAGGAACGTCCCAGCAGTAGTGGAGCTTCAGGATCACGTTCGTCCAGTGGCAATTGCAGATCCCATCCCTATGCCCCTCCACCCCCCTCGCCAGCAATGAGGAGTGTGCCGATCGCAGTGATTGACAACCCGTCTTCCAGCTCCACACCTCCTCCCCTGCCTCCCCCTGGCCCTCCCCCTCTCCCTCCCCCTCCCCTCCCTCCTCCTCTTCCCCCTCCCAATTTCCCCCCACCCAGTGCCTTTGCACCCGTCCTTCCCCCCCCGGCACTGCCAGGAAGCTTGGTGCTTCGTGCGCCTGACCCTCCTTTGGTGTCGAGTACCGCTTCGTCGTCGGCTGCTCCTACATCTTCAGCTACGTCAGGTACTCCAATCAGATCTAAACCCATGCCTACCAGAAGGCGTGAATCACGCCGATTTCGACGCAGTCAATCGTCTGATCTCAGCTAAGTATGTCCGGAGTGACAGAAGTTCGGCACCTTTGCTTGTATCTGTGGCACCTGTGAGTTTTGCAGTGAGGAAAGAACGTGCATCCGATGCAAGTGCTGTGAGTATCACTTCATTCATGTTGCAATGCATATCAGAACAGTTTTGCAGCATCCTGCTCAAGTTTCGCCCCATTGCACCAATGTCGAGCAACTCAGCGTGTGATCCGTTGGCACCTCTTCAGCGCTGGATTTCCTACACACAACAAGAGCTGATCACAATCAGAGGTGAATTTCGTCACTTTCGGGAAGAAGCTATCTCCGTCCAAAAGATCCAACAGTCCCAACTCGACGTGCTCACCACACAAATCAGGGACACTGAGTCGCAGATGGCAGAAGTCATGTCTGCCATCACAGAACTTTTTCAGAAACTTCAGAAGACCAACGAAGTGGTGGGCAACCTGCTGACGGATTTGCATTCCATTCAATCTGTGACTTCCCATTGTGTTAACTCTCTCCAGCTGCAAGAATCCTCAGAGTTGCCCCCAACACTCCCAGCAGTGATTGAAGTCTCAGAGTGAAACGTGAGCAGTTGCAAAGAAGACTCTGTGTGCCAGTGTTGCTGCAAGTGTATTGCAAGGGATGTGCAAGAGACGTGCAAGTGATGCGCAAGGGATGTGCAAGGGTTATGCAAGCGATCTGCCGGTAGCATGTCTTGTGAACGTTTGCAGACACTGTTTTGACTCATGTCCTCAAGGCACTCTGCAGTTCTAAAAAGACTTGGAACGTACAGGTAGCTTCCAATTATGTCGGTGTCCAGTTTTGAGAGCGATGCTGCCTCTGTATCGGACGTGCACTCGTCCGACTTTTCGTCAGACTTTGCAGTGTCGGACCAAGAACACGATCGACGTGCAGCTTTGGCATCAGGTGTTACCTTGGTCAGTGATCCTGATTCGGCTGATTTCGTCCTTGATCATGAGAGTTCGAATGTGTCATCGTTCCTTGGCCGACAGTCTACGTCAATGTCCCCTGGTCGATCAGTTCAGTTTCCAAAGTCGAACCGGTCCGCTGCAGAACACACCAGCATGTTGAAGATTGACCCGCCGCGGAAACGCAAGCTTCGTATGATTGATGAAGGTTCTGATGGTGCGCGCATCAAGATTCGTCCTGCACCCAGAGCCCAATTTCGCCGCAGAATGGAAGGCACGAGAGTGCTTGGTGACGACTTCTTCATCCACAACAGAGCCCAATTTATTCTCGATTTCCTGAGACAACATGGCATTGCTAAAGAAAAGCAAGGCCCTAGGAAGCGTTTTTCTTCTACTTTGAAACTTGTGCAGTACGTCTTAGACCGAAAGTAAGAGAGCGGTGACAGTTTAAAAAGAGTCCACCACTGCTTTGTGTCAAGAGAAATGATGAGCAAGGGATATGCAAGCGGATTGCAAGTGATGTGCAAGGGACGTGCGAGGTACGTGCAAGTGCTGTCCAGGAAATGTGCGGAGAGACATGTCAGGGATGTGCAAGTTCTGCGGTTTTGTGAGTTGCTTTCATCAGACATGTAATAGAGTTTTGTATCAAGCAGTCTGGAAGCTTTGTAGATTCTGAACAACATGGATTGGGCCGCTTCTGACGTGCTCGAGAACTTCTTGACGTACCTGTTGCCGATCAGAGCCAGAATCACATTCATTACCCGCCTCGATCGAAATGACGACCCGGAAGAGGCACAACCCATAACCGAAACCATGGTGGCGTACACGTTCTTGCATCGTGGGATACCAGAATTTCGGCTGTCCTCCTCGGCTGAGTTGACCATGGGTTTTCAGTCTTTGCATACCACCATACGTTTTGTTCAAATCAATGCCGTGGCCTGCACTATGTTGGGCAGCATTTCCAAACGGTGGATGCGCGCTGTGGTAGACCTAGCACAAGAGCGTTTGCGAGTGAGTATCGTGTCATTGGCCAATGCTGCATACCAAACTGCAACTCAGTGTTGCATGTACTTCGATTCTGATGCAGAAGAAGCCGAAGTCGAATTACACTTAGTGTACAGACTGCGTTTCCTGAAGTTTCGTAGCCCACTCTCCTAGATCTCCCAAGAACAAGACGTTTCGATGCAAAAATCCGTGAGAAAAACAGCGCGCAACGACTATCAACACTGCACAGAGCCCTTCGGGGCTTGTGTGTGTCCAACTCTGTTTCCAAGAGACGTGAGTGAGTTAGGCAGCAGGGGGCGTGGCAGTCGCATCCTAGCCACGCCAACGAAGCTATGGATGTTGACTGGATGGGCTCACAGACGTGTGAACCTGTACCTGCACAAAGCTGCTCATGGGTCACGCATGTGACAGCTTGAGAGCTTATCTGTGAATGCGACAGTCATGAGTGAGGGCTTGCATTGGTCAGTTTCTTGCTCAGTTTCTGTTCAAGAGTTTGCCTGTGAATGCGACACTCATGAGTGAGGGTCTGCACATGTCAGTCTTACATGAGTGATTCGCGTTTGTCCTATGGTAGTACTTCAGATTGCATGTTCTGACTTCTCCTGACAGCTTCCGGCAATATGCACTGACTGATCAGACCTGCGACACGATGTGTCAAGTGTGTGTGTGTGTGTGTGTGTGTGTGTGTGTGTGTGTGTGTGTGTGTGTGTGTGTGTGTGTGTGTGTGTGTGTGTGTGGCGTGTGTGCGTGTGTGCGTGTGTGCGTGTGTGCGTGTGTGCGTGTGTGCGTGTGCGTGTGTGCGTGTGTGCGTGTGCGTGTGTGCGTGTGTGCGTGTGTGCGTGTGTGCGTGTGTGCGTGTGTGCGTGCGTGCGTGCGTGCGTGCGTGCGTGCGTGCGTGCGTGGGTGTGTGTGTGTGTGTGTGTGTGTGTTTGTGTGTGTGTGTGTGTGTTCGTGTTCGTGTTCGCGCGTGCGAGCGCGCGGGTGTGGGTGTGTGTGTGTGTGTCCGTACTGGTTTCATGGACGCATTGCGAGTCAACTTCTGAGCAGGCTATGCTGGGCTTGGTCCTCTTCGGTCTGGGCATTGAAGCAAGCTGTGGGGTCGACATCTTGTGCCTTGGGCAGCAGGACCCCCTGATTCAGGGCATGTGTGTGTGTGTGTGTGTTTGTGTACATTGCGGCACACATACATGCATGTATGCATGCATACGTACAATACGTACATAAATGCACGCATGTAGACATTTGTAATATAGAGACGTAGACATGTACAGGCATACAAACACACCTGCATACTCACACATACGTATGTACGTAAGTACATGTATACATACATAAGTACACATACACCCACACTTACATAGGTTTGCAGTTGTTCGGGTAGGCAGGCTGGCAGACCGGGAGGCAGGCAGGTATTGGCAGGTGGGCAGGTGGGCTATGTAGGTCGGTAGGTATGTGTACGGCGTGCAGTGTAAATTATACAGAGAGGCAGAGACTTAAGGAGGCTTCTCTCCATACGCTGGCGGCTTAGGATCCCAGGCCGCCTAGATACACCGTGCCATGGCCTAGAGAGCATTCTGAACTTCTGCCGTGAACAGACCGCCTGCTTGGACATGGTAGCCTCCGCAGCAAAATTTCGTTCCAACATGACGCGCCCAAGCAGCGCGGGATCTAAGGACCGACTTCGCAACCGAGCCGGCTTCCTGTCTGCAGCATAGATCCGGACCGGCCTGCGATGTCCACTCGGCTTGTGCTCCAAGGAGGCGTTGGGATCGCTTGTCATCGACTCATCTATCCTCATGCTGTGGATGCCATCCATGCTCTCTGCCTTAGCCATTTACTTCTTTACAAAATATGTGCATCTCGGCCTCAGTTAACCGATGACTGAGTCAGCAGGAGCATGCCTGGGTCAATCCGGGTCAATCTAGGTGAGCTATGGTGAGCTCAAGTTGAGTTTGCTTGTTTCTTCTTCAGCTGCTGTTCCACATGGATTGGAAGATATTCGAAGGAAAGATTCGCCCTTCACGATCGCTGTTTACACGTTCTCGGCAATCGCCCTTTTCCATGGGCTGCGATGGTGTCTTGGTACCTCCTTGCAGGCCACGCCTGTCTGCTCCGCAGCTTGTGCTTGTCCTGCAGTTCGCAGGCCGCTCAAGACAGTCGATGGCTTTATCCTCAGACAGAGTATTTCCCACTGTCGCTGCTTGGCTTTGGTCACCCCTTTTGCCGGCGCTCGCGCACACGTGCTTGAGATCCGTAAGACCACTTCGGTTCAAGGAAGCTGTACGAGCTCGCGGGGAAGGACATTGTTTGGTCGTCCGTGCCTCCCGGCTCTTCCTAGCGAGCAAGGAGGCGATACTCTCGACTCTCGTGCCTTGTTGGACAGGTTCTCCAACATGCCGAAGATCTTGCTGAGTGCTTTCATCATCTCCATCGTGAACATTGCCTGCCAGCTTGCAGTCACCGCCAGCCTGCTTCCGCCAAAGGCCCCGGTTGATTGAAGATGTAGGGAGGGCAGCCATCCTGAAGTCGATTGTACACGAGTCCTGTTGGCCTGCAAGACATGCGGTGGTCGAGGTGATGGGTGCATCCACGTTTGACTATGCCGCTTGATCTGGGTGAGTGTGTGGACAAAGCTGCCGTACTTCGGGACGGACTGTTTTCTTGTGCAGCCGGAAGTGCCATCTCTGCGCTATCTTCTGAGCTGAGCATGTGTTCTAGCTCGCCGCTTCCTCGGCCAGCGCTGCTGGCTACTCGTACGACTAAGGAGATGATTGTTCAAGGCAGTCGGCCTGCAACATGTCCGGCAGATGGCAAGAATGCAGATTCCGCATGATGTGAGTAATCGTGAGTAACCTCGGTACCAAACCAACAGTCGCATGTGTCCCATGATGCTGAGCACAAATCAACCAAGTTGTGGCACATTCCGCGCGCACGCGCCTCCTTTGCTTTTGAAGGCCGGTCTCACATTATCGGTGGCCTTGCGCTGGGATTTGCTTCGGACTTCGGGAATGATGATACATTGGCACCTTGCTGCAATTCATCGGCTCGAGCCCGGCCGTGAGACTTTGCAATCATTGCCGCAAGATGTTGGACGGACCTTTGAGAGAGACAGAGAAGAGCCAATCACATGTGACGAGCGGCTGGCAAAGAGTTTAGTACAGCTGTAATGCTGAGATTGAGGCATTGCCTCAGCAGCATGGTAACACAGTCACACCTTTACAGGCCTCTTACCTCTTATGTACGTTCAGGACACATGATTTGTCCCGAGGCGCGCCCGCCCGGCACGCCTGGAGGGTTTTTTGGCTTCCGCAGTGGTTCCTTGCACGTTTTTGCGACGAAAATCGCGTCTTACTTTCCACAGTCCCGTCGGAGCGCCGTTCAAGTCATAAGTACCCAACTTGATGAATCACCCTCTGGCTGCAGGCGCGTGCGCAGTGTTTGGTGTCCTTGGGTGGGAGTGTGGGTGCTCATGTGTTGTGGCTTTCAAAGCTTAAAGTCCCAGCAGGGCTGGGGGCTGGTCGCCTTTTCGCGTTGGTGTGCTCTCGGCATCCTGCCGTTCTATGAACTTTTAACAGCTAACGCTTTGGCAGAATTCGACATTGTGCGCCATTTGGGCCGCCCACCTTCTTCCCGCCAAACAAGTGTGCGTGTCAGCCTCCACCGCGGTGCATACACGGCTTCCACGGTGCTGGGAAACTTGTTGGGCTCATGGTCTTGTCTTGGGAGAGGCGGCAGCAGTGAAAGACTCAGTAGACAGTACTTAGGTACACCGTATGGTCGGAGGCCGGGCCGCAGCCTGCACGAGAGTAGGCAGACTTTCGCAGTTGGACGAACGGCAGACTCGGCTTTGACGGTTCATCTCAAGCTGTGAGGCCGCTTCCGATTGAGCATGTGGGCCCATGTCGTGACTACAGCCTTGTGCCTCGGCTTGTTCAGCCTTGTTGCAACTGACATCAATCCCCGAACCTAGATGTGTGCTTTGCGTGGACATACCGCAACTCGGCAGCAATGAACTGGATTGATTCAAAGACCTTTCGTGACATGCGCAGCGCAGGGGTCTCTTCGGCACACTGTTTTGTCCCGGCGAAGTATCTGCAAAGGTTCCTTTGACCATGCAATGTGGCAAGAGCATGAGTCAGGAAGAACAGCCTACCATACGTTCCACGCTTCGTAAACGGTACCATCGTGCTGTTGGCCTCGGCGGAGCTGCTTATAGCCGGCTTCGTGCAGGTGCCGATGCAAAGTGCTCCTTTGATGTTCCGGCTAGAACACCGAAAGTAGCACGTCTGAGAATACGTGCAGGGATGCGTGCAACTAAGCGCCAGGGCTATGCGCTTCTGACGAGAACAGAATTTGCAGTGGCTGCTTGGAGAAATACGACAAATACGACTGTACAAGAAGGTCAGATTCAGGCATCCTTGCTGATTCTGCCACAGACATGTCCGACAAGATCTTGAAACAGCGTGCCACGATTCAAGCCGCTATCTCTCCTCGAAGTTTATCCTCGAGGGTAAGCTTCGTTGTAGGTCATCGGAAGCAGGCCAGAAACCATGCAAGCACTTCTCAGGTTTGCGTGGCTGCGTTGGTAACCTTGCTATGCGGTGGTCAAGTTCAGGCTGGCTTCTCGGCAGCAGGAAAAAGATCCAAAGCCGGAAACATAATGCATGAAGATTATGACCGTGCTGTCCGGCAAACATTGTGTTCAATTATCGAAGTTCCAAGGACTCTTTGCGGGCATGTTTCTTGCCTTTGCAGACGCGATTCGAAACTTCACCCGGGCATTGGAGCAGCTCTCAATAAAGACAGCCACTAGCATTGACTTGGGTGGGTATGAAAAGCCGCGGATTCCAACGGCCTCCGCACCCCGGCTGTGAGGAAGGAGACGTGGCCGTTGTCGAGCTGCCCAACTACATGTTCTTCGCCACAGCACCAGGCAGAAGTGTTAAGAGCTTGCGGTAAGATGCTCAGCAGGCAGGTCGTCAAGTAGTCATTTTTGCCCCACTGTGTGGATTTGGATACAGATTGGTGAAGAACGTCTTGCAACATGAAGGTTGCATCTAATGAGCTTATGGAAGCAGCAGGCATCGTTGCCACCATCCGCCGTACTCTTTCGGAGTCCAGCGAGGTCATTCTCGACTGGGACGCTGGGACTAGAGTATTGTGCACACCACAGGAACGCGAAGGACATTCAAGAGAGAAAGGTTCTTGTTGGTTCATGTCAGGCCTTTGCCGGGGGCTTGTGGGCGGATCCTGTCCACCTGAAGCAGCACCAGCCTGAGCCTACCAAGGAGAAAGTGCGTGGATTGGACACGCTACTCAGCTCATGTTGCGGCTTTGGCGGGTCGGACTTCGGTGCTCCCACGTATATATGCATGCATTAGTTCCTGTCGATGTGATGATGTGAGTTGCTCGCACTTGGTTTGCTTGACCAAGGAAGGCCACCTTGGAATTCGCGCAGCTGTGCGCCGAGGAGCAGGCCGAGGAAGCAAGGCCGGAGACAAACCTGTACTCTGTACTTTGCATCGTGATGCCTTCTTGGTTCAGCAACGTGGCCGAGGGGCATCCTGACCTTCGCAGCGCTTGAGCCTTCCATTCGCGCACAGTTGGTGGCGGCCCATGCGCTGCCCGAGGCGCGAACAGAGGCGACTCAGACTGTCAGGCCTTGATCATAACGGTCATAACGTCCACGTCAGGCAAGCAGCTCTCGCAACCTTGAGATGGCTGAGCTCCCAGCAGGGAGAAGATCCACGGCGTCAGGCACCCTGGCCCGCCTGGCCCCAGCCCTCCCTAGCCAGCCTAGCCACAAGCTCCCCGAAAGGTGACGCACAGAAAACGTCGCTGTCTTGCCAGGATCCTCTCGACGGCAGTCGCTCGCATCGACTGAGCACGCACATGATGCGAGAAGGCCTGCCGAGCACAAATATGTCGGCTATGAGCTTGACGCAAGTCTCCGAGGCTAACCGGCATAACGGCATTGCGAAGGAGCATTGCGATGCCAACGGGCCCAATAGGACCATGCGGACGAAATCCGTGCGATTTGTGAATCCAAGTGAAACGTAGCCGCACTCTTCTGCACATACTTGCAATTTCGAATGGGCTTTGGCCGATGTATGCATTCCTGCCATGTTTGGAGTTCGGATGCAGCTCTCGATGCCGCACTGCAGGATCCTGTCCCCGTGAAGCACGCAGCCTGGCAGAAGCCCTGGCAGAAGCCCGGCAAAGGCTGCCTACACCTGCCAGCAAGTGACCGGCAAAGGCATGACAGGGGCTTCGTGCTCACGGCCGTGTGGGCTGCAAAGTGTCAGTGCCTTCCTATTGATTTGCAACACTGGATCCAAAGCAGATCCTTGTCAACAAGGCGGACGGTCGTCAGCAAGCCTTGCTTCCGAAAGGGATATGCGACTGGGAGCATCGTATTAGAGCCTCCCGCTAAGGCCGTTTCGAAGTCCGCAGAGCTCAAGCCAAGGGAACTGGGGTCGGATTCGAGCAAGCAGTAGCTGTCTCCACCTTGTGAACCACTATGTTCCAGAGCAGCATCCACGCGATCCCAGGTTAGAAGTATTTGAATCCTTGAAGTCGAGACACCTGGCACGAAGTCACGGCAGCATGCGCTAATTACACTCGACCAAGATCGCGAAGGGCGCTAAGTCATGGATTCAAGGATGTCAGAAGCCAAGCAGCCACGCACTTGGGCTTTGATTGCCTTGATCTCCTGACACGGTGGCATGACGCTGCTGGCCTTTGCGATTCCAGCTAGCATCGCCGCAGTGGGCCAGGCAGCTGGCTGAGGAGTTAAGTCGTTGGACAACTATGCTACAACTTGCATTCGACGGGAGACTCTCTTTTGGTCTTGTTGTGGGAACTGGTCATGCTTGTCCGTGACCTGACCAGGTATTGCTTGCATGGGACTGGAGGATTTGGCTGGTAATCTTCATCGTTGGCTCGGTGCACGACTCGGGACAGCGTTTTCCGCGGTCGGGTTTCTGGTGTGCAGCACATGTAGACGGAGAATCCGTCGCAGTGCAGGGCCCAGCGGGACAGATCCCGTTGCCACAGGTGTCGTCACTCCACTACACTCCACTCACTCTACTCTACTTATGATGCCAATCCACTCGTGCTTACGTGCAGATGGGCCAAGGTTGTGTTGCAGCACAAGGGTCCAGTGTCTGCGGAGGAGCAAGCATCGAAGGTGCGAAAACTGCATGTCTGCACGGTTGCCTTGCACCAGTTGCCTTGCCATCTTTGGTTAACATACAGGTTCAAAGACGTCAGAAATCAGATGTGACCCAGGTGGCGAAGGCAGCGAAGCGACACCAGGATGCCGGCGACTTCCAGGCGGCCAACCGCAACAGCTTCGCCACTTCGCAAGCTTGTGAGCCGCTGTGAGCCGGTGCCTGGCCTTCGGCCAAACCGTGTTTTAAAATCTTTCGGCTCAAGTGTAAGCTGGTCGTAGCCGTCGTAGAAGATAGACTCAGTTGGTTTTTCTCGCGCCATGGGGAACCTGGTTGGGGGCAATCGGCGCTTTGGTCGTGTGGTGGCAGGTCTGCCGAGCATGGCGGGCAAGGTGGTGGCAGTGACGGGTTGCACCTCCGGCACAGGCAAGATCTTTGCACAGATTTGTGCCAAGAAAGGTGCCAAGGTTGTTCTTCTGAATCGAGAATCTGCGCGGGCCGCAGAGGCTTTCAAGGACATCACTGAAGTAGCGAAAGCAGCAGGTGCACCAGATCCGTCTGCCATCCCGTGTAACCTCACAAGCTTCAAAAGCGTGCACGCTGCTGGTGAGAGGTTACAGGCAGAGTTTCGGGAAAGCGGCATTGACGTTTTGTGCAACAACGCAGGCATCATGGGTTTCGGCGACAAAGCTACAGAGGATGGCTGTGATATCCAGATGCAGACAAACCATTTGTCCCACTTCCTCCTGACGTACCTTTGCATGCCCTTGCTTGACAAGGCGGCATCTCTGCGCGGTGAGGCACGCGTGGTGAATCACTCGAGCTGTGCACGGGTTATGAACGGCCCGGAGTTCACGAACAAGCTAGAGGAGAAGTACCTGCTCAAGAACGGTGGAAACCTAGGTGGAGACAGCAACACAGTCATGCGGGGCGCGAACTTCGTGCGATACCAGCAGACGAAGCTTGCAAACGTGGCCTTCACGTATGCTCTCCACAAGCGCTTGCAGCAGGCAGACTCCAAGGTAAAGGCCCTAGTTGCCCATCCTGGCGTTGCTCCCACCCAGCTGACCCAGGGAATGGTAGGTGCTGGTGGCGCAAAAGATCTTGAGCTCTATCCCAACTGGTTCACCAAGTTTTTCATCAAGATGATGTACCAATCGGAGGCAGATGGAACGATTGGAATTCTTCGCAACTCTTGCGACCCCGCAGCAAACTCAGGGGATTTCTATGGCCCTTTAGGCAAAGGCGGGGGCACCGGAACCTACGACAACGGCGAGCGCAAAGGCCCTGTTGGGCTTCTAAAGGCGGAGCCCTTTGCCGACGAGGAGGCTCAAGAGTTGCTATGGACCGCCAGCGAGGCCGTCACTGGTGTCAACTTTGACGTGAAAGCACGCGGACGTGACTGCTTGGCTTGATAGCTTTTGCTTCGTGGGCTTTTCTGAAGACTTTGCTTGGATTTTCGCTGCCTGAGTCCCGCCAGAAGACAGATGTCGTGAAGTTTCGCTGCGTTGCCCAAAGGGCGATCGCGTAGCTTTCACAATTCCCGACAGGTTCACCAGATGAAGAGTCTAGGTTTCACACGACTAAACCCATGTGAAGCGCGCCTCAAAATTGGCCCTCGCCCAAGCGGAGTTGCCACTGGCCCTTCCGCAACTGGAGTAACCAGAGCTCGCAGTGGACAGATGAGACCGTCCCTTCGCTTCGAGGTGAGCAGAATGACACCGGATATCTTCCAATACGACTGACGTAGCCGATGACGATACGTATTGTGATCAACAGATAGCTTGGGCAGCTAGGACGAGTCAAGAGATCTTTGGGAAGCAGTGGTGTTCTTGCTGGAAACACAATATCTTAATGCGTCAAGGGCAGAACAAGGACAGCGTTGCGCAGCGCAGATTGCACTGGGCAGGGGAATTGGCAGGTAGGTCGGAGGCGAGTCAGACGAACAAGCCAAAGCGACTGCGACACCATGATTGGCCACTTGACGGCTGTGAGGCTTTTCCCGAAATCTGAGTTGAAGTGGCACCACGAAACAATAGATCCTAGCTCACCTCATCAATGTTTGCAGTCTACAGTCACAATTTGCTTTAAAAGAGGTGGCCTATCTTCTTCTGACCCGCGGTCTCCGGCTGCTCGGCCTCCCGGCAAGACACAAATAATAGCTCGCACGGCCGCACGGCAGGACCTCTAGCCTGTAGCCGCTGTAGCCTGCAGCCACCCCGAACCCCCCGAGAGAAGAGGTGATCCGCACTGTGAGGGAACATGAAGGAACCCGTGGCTCGATGTTGTTCGCAAATGCACGAGGTGTTTTTGATAATGGCACTGACACGCAGAAGACGGGACCGACTGCCCTGGAGCTGCGGCGCCGTCGTGCAGAGGCCGGTGGAGACGCGGAAAGTGCCATAAACACTCATGCCTGGGCAGTGCCAGCTCATTCAAGCCAATATTCAACAGGAGCATACTTTTGGAGAGTTTTTTCTCTTGCCGCCAGTTGTTGCTTGCCCGTGGCTTCACCGGGCCATGCATGCAAGCTGCTTGGCAAGTTGGTCTCAGAGAGGCAACCACAACGGGCTGGCAGGCTGGTTCTTGCTGGAATCTAGCATGGATGCATAATACTGTTGGCCCACCATCCAAGGAGGCACTTTCATTCAGCGGACCTGCTGCCGGCTTGCTGCGAGCGCGCGCTCTGGCAAAGCAAGGCAAGTGGACCGAAGCTTTGGAAGCCATGAAGGCCAGGGGCCGGGTGCGTGGCCGCGGCTCGCATGTGCTCTCTCCGGGAGAGCGGAGCGGTAGCGGTAGCGGAGCATGCGGACCAGGAGCCGGGAGTCAGAGACTACGCGCGTGACAACTACTCCGACAAGTTCTCGCTTCTGGTAGAGGTCGGTGCAAGGCCGCAAGGCATCAAGAGAGCAGACTTTTCACCGGTTCAAGATAAGAAGGGCACAAATTGCAAAGCCTGACAATGCCTTCCCGAACCATGATCCCGGTCTGGTGAGGCACATGGCCGGGCAGATTGACGTGCCTATGCTCATGCGTCGCATGTTTGCATCAGCAGCGAACTGCCAAAGCGTTGCTTTGCTCAGTCACTTCGCTTCGACTCTAGAGCCGTGTTTGGCTTTTCAGGCGCTGCCATCGCGAACAACCATTATGAGATACCTGGCGAAGCCGGGCCTTTAAGGTTCTTTGGCAGCACATCCCAGCTTGGCTGCCAGTAGGTCCTGCGCCTCCCTGAGATATCATCAAGATGGTGGACTCTTTCGGTTCAGTTGCTTCATTGTGCTTGTACAGTGCTTGTTTGAGAGGTATCAGTCTCCGAAGCTGACCCGGGAATGGATTCCCGGGCGCGGTCGGGGCATGATTGCTTCAGATGCTTGGTCTTAGGAATTTGAGCTGAGCACGGCTCACACGATATGAGCTAGCTCCCTCCAGAAGTGCCATATGAGCTTCGACACCCAGGAAGACATCGCAGCAGGTGAACTTCTGATTTGCGAGCGGCCAATGGATCTCGTTCGACCGGGAGTCGCACGGCTCAACGTGCGAGATCGCCGGGAGGGGGGTCAAAAACAAATTTAAAAAGGATCAAAACAAATTTAGGAAGGATCAAAAAAATTAGAAAGGATCAAACACAAAATTTAGCGTTTACGAGGTAAATTACCTATTTCCTCGCTTGACAGCCTTCGGCTTCTGGGCTCTTGGCTTCTGTGCTGCCTGGCTCCGCGGCTTTTTTTGGCTTCTGGGCTCCGTTGGCTTTCTGGCTTCTCGGCTTCTTGGGTTCCTGGCTTCTTGGCTTCCGGGCGGCTTGGCTTCTTGGCTGCTTGGCTTCCTGGCTTCTTGGCTTCCGGGCGGCTTGGCTGCTTGGCTTCTTGGCTTCTAGGCTTCCTTGCCGGCTTCTTGGCTTCTCGGGTTCTTGGCTTCGGTACGCTCCGCTTTTTACTGCTTTCTTGGCTTGTTGTTTTTTGCGTTCGTTTTCTGTCTTGTTGTGCTTCTTGCTTGTATATACACACGTACACGCCTACATGCATACACACCGACATGCACTTGTTCTTGCTTACGCTCTGCTTTTCTGTTTGTTGGTCTTCGCATGTGCTGTTCCATTGTCGTACTACGTTCCTCGGAGTTGTGGAGACGCCGATAATACTGCAGACTCTTGTCTCCTTTTAGTATTGTGTCTATTCTTTCTCTCAGTTCTAGTATTAAATATTATGATTTGATTACAAAAAATGGTTTTGTTCATACTCTCTCATAGCCTGTTAGTGTTATTACAATCATGTGATTTGTATGTTATCATCTTTTCCCTTGAGTATCATTATGAATATTCTGAGTACTGTTGTTACTAGTAGCAGTATACACACATACATACATAAATGAATAAATGTATATCTATATATATATATATAGCTATACACATATCTGTGGTAAGCCCGAGTATATATACAATAATAGAAACCATAGACCAGCATGTAACACAACTACAGTATCTCCGTCGCGCAAACCTCAGATCTCCGAGCTGCCACTGGTAGGGGAGGCGCCGTGGTAGGAAGGGCGGGTGGCAGCGACGAGCTGGGGGCGGCCACGCGGAGATATTGGAATAGCACTTGCCGTTGTTTGCAGCAATCTCCAGTCACTAAACATTGTTTGATCCTTCCTAAATTTTTTCTTGATCCGTTCAGCCTAAATTTGTTTTTGATCCTTTTTAAATTATTTTTTGATCCTCCACCCAGATCGCCGCGGTTCTCATGGAGTTAGTACCGTAGTTATTTCGGCACTTGAGCTGGAAATCTCTTCGAATTTGTCAGGACAGCGATTGGGCTTACGGAGCAAATTTGGAGGTCCAGGGTGTGCGCTGCTGTTACCTTATCTGGCATTGGTGACATGAAATCGCCGACTGCTTTTGATTTGATGCTGCTTGTGTTGCGCAGGAAGTGCTGACGCGTCGCTTGACCGCAAGGTGCCTCCACGAGGCTTGGGCACCACACACAGCCTATGGATCGTTCTTCTGCGAAGCGAACTGTGACTGAACCACTTAATTAAGGGACGGACATCGGGTTGATTGGCTTGTGTTCGGCTTGCGCATTGGTGCAGGCGCAGCTGATGGAAGACGTTTGCACACTGTTTGACGGCCAGGACAAATCTCGTCCTGCCCGCTCTGTTTAGACCGAAGAACCTACCTACGGCTGTATTCCATGATGGGCTACAACGTTCTGCCTCAAACTTAAGGGTCTTGACACGAAGCCTCTCAGACCCGTCCGATTGGTAGAGCATCCTTCCCTTCCAACCGTTTCTCTTTTGTGGATGCCCTCTCCGTCCGCGACCCTGTGCAAGAACCCCCGGAGCTATGCGGAGGTGCATGCAGCATGCAGACCGGGGGGGTGGCCCGCGGCAGGATCCTGCTGGTCCAGGTTGGGTGCCCCACTCCTGGCAGACCGAGGCCGGCAACAAACCTAAGACTGCGAAGTCCCGAAGCTGCGAGCTGCCAGCTGCACAGGACTTTGCGGTGCCGATGCCCAGGGGCGCCGGCACTCCGGTGCTGGAGTATCGCCTGGGCAGAGCCTTCTCGCAAGTTGAAGCATCGATGGCAGTCGTACATAGCGGAATGATGGCAGCAAGTTGATCGGAATGTCACGAAAGCGAGTCCTGTGACGACTCTGCTGGAGTTCTGCTTCACTAAGACTTCTTAGTGGCCTCAAACGGGGGGCGGGGGCTAATGTATTCATAATTAAATCTTAGCGGTTTGGTGCATATGCAGGTTCAAGTGACGTATCGATTGACATCAGTTGAAGTTTATGGAGCTTGGGGAAACCACCCTAACGTCATGATTATCCGTCTTCCACCTTCCAACGCGGTCGCACCGTTACCGCCACCGCTATCGATTCTGCTATGGTGGTTGCTTCCGCCGCTGTTGGCCCGCTCTTCTCTTCGTCTCGTTGTTCAGCACCGTATCATGTCATGTCCAATCCCTACAGCCCAATCATTGCGGGATTGCAGGGCTGTCCTTGCGGAGTAAGAGGCGACAAACACCTGAAACTCAAAACTTCCACACTTTCTCTTGTTGTTGACCTCAGCCGCCCTCGTGTTGAGCTTCCAGTGCTGCTGCTGGTGCCGACGAGCTTGCGTCCAGCCTTCTCAAGTAACGGCATGCTGCAGCCAACCAGGGGTCGCAGTGGCGCCGTGTCTGTGGTGTTGACGAAAACAGAAGCTGTAAGGCACATCGTCGGAATGGAATTTTCCGTGGAATGGAAATCTTCCGTGTGGGGGTTGGAACCTACCTGCCGTCGGTCATCCATTCTAGGACGTGAGCAACACAAACTCCTGCATGTTCCGGCGGTCTCGGACTGAAGTTTTGTCGATGCCGTTGCTTTCTCACTTGTGCCGCTGCCCCGAAGCAGACAGAGAGCTTGCAAGATGTGTCCCTGTCCAGCAAGGAATCGTCAAGCACAACGTCACAGCCTCAGGGGAAGCACAAGCACCGTCGAGCACCCTCGAGAGTTGGTTCACAGAACTGCCTGGCATCATATGGCATCCCCTTCAGGCCCATCGTTGGCCCGGCTGCCATCCACAGACGCTCACGCCCATGCCTGGGCTGGGGCTTTGGCTCGTGCCGCCTATGGCAACTCGACTATGACAGCCGTAAGCTGCACCATCGAGAGCCGCGAGCAAAGAATGGCAACACGTGTTTGGTTTGCTGCGCAGTGGCGTGAGTACACTGTCCTGATTGGCCCAACAGTTGACTCAGGTGAATCACGCCTTAGAATCTGACAGCAGGCTGGCCTTGCGCTGCTGACGTGTTATTTTTGCGACTTGTTGGGCGAAATGTTCCTTTGTTTCTAACCATCTCATCCTCACGAAGCAGTCAGGTCCTACAGTACAGTACAGTGTTGCAGATAGCACCAATGGCAAGTGCGTGCACCCTTGTACTTCCGCTTTGAGGCCAAACACAGCCCACGTGTTTATTGGAGCTGCAGACTGAGCTTGGCACTCTTGGAACTGTAGGGTAGATGTTGCATCTCGTGTGTCTAGCTGCTTGACTTCCCAGGATGTCATGGTGTTCCGAGCCATCGCTCCAATCAAGAAAGGGCAGGAAGTCCTTGATCGCCCTTGCCCTAGCAGTGTGCAAACATTAGCGGCGGGAATCGCCAAATTCCGCTTCGAACCACGGCATGGCAGTTTACTGGTAGTAGCTGCTTCTGCTTCAGGCTACAGCACTCCTCTTGCCGACCGGTTCCAATGGACCTTGCACACTTTGGCGGCTCATGAGATGCGCGATGCTACCTATGAGGCGGCTCAGTAAAACGATTATTCAAGTCTCGTTGTCCGTCACACCAAGCTTTCCGATGCCCTCGATGCCCTTGTTTGCAAAAGCGGGGCAGCTGCACGGCTGCGCAGACCGTTGCAGGCAGCCGCAGCTCGTTGGGAAGAGCCACCGCTTCTCGCGGACGGATGCTCGATGCAGTATTATTGGACGGCGAGGTATCCAAATCGAGACGTAGTGCATCACGAGTTTCTGCTACCCTGTCGACTGTGTGTTCTTGACAATTTGTTTGGTGTTTGTAGTTTAATTAGTGGCCATCGGCGATAGGCTGCAACCATCAGTGTCTTCCCCGCACAAAGACGTCATCACCAGATTGACCAAAAACACCAAACATTTTCACTCTCTCCATCAGTTCTGGAGAAGCACTGACCTTTCGCTTAAGTGCAAGCGGTGTATCCACAAAGCGGTATTGGCTCCAATATGTGGGGACTGACTCAATCGTCAAGAGGCATTCCGCTCGCAGTGCCTTCGCACCCCCGTACCAACCAGGACACCAGATTTCTTACCGATCAATCTCCTCTCCCATCGATCGCTCCCATCATCTCCCATCCGATCTGCGTTGAAAGGTTGTCGTTCTAGCAGATTCTAGCAGTTTTCAGTACAGAGGGGGAACAGTAGGGGGGCTGGCTTAAGGGTGCCGCACCCACAATGTTTGGGGGTTATCATTGCTCAAGAAGGAGCATTCTGGTACTGCCGAGTTCGTTAGATAACATGTGACAGGTTCACTTAGTAGTGCGAGGTGCACCTGGGTTCACTCCAGGCGCTTCGAATTTATTGACTCACCGTCATTGATAGCTGGCACAATCCTCGACAAGCATACGCCTCTTTTGGATCCCTGTCGTTTGCTGCGCCGCCAGACCTCGCCACGTGTAACCGACACAGGCACCAGCTCCGAACTGGCCTTGTCCAAGTCCCGCAAGATCATGCTGGAAAGTCTGCGCCGCATGGAGAGCAAGGAGCCGGGGAACCGGGGCCACTTGTCCGCAGCCTTCAGCAACCGCCAGAAATCTTGCGGCTAGTACTCCTCGAGGGCAGGTACGGAGCATCGGCAGTACAGGTGCTGGCCGGCATGCCGGTATCTCGGACAAGAGTGTTCTAGCCAGGGACATTGTGAGTTTGTTGTGTAGTATAGTTGTGAGAAGAGCTTTGTTTGTGAACACGCAGTTGGAGCACCGCTTGCAAGAACCGTTTCTCGGCTTCCCTGGGGTGTATAGTAGTTTCCTCAGTCACTCATTCGGTTCCTATCCAGGCTTTATCTGGGCAAGGCAGTTTTGTTGCAGACGCTGCTTGAAGGTTTGGATGCAGTCTCGCGGGACGAGTACCAGGAAGCTCGTGCACCAGACCTTGCCTAGGATGATACTTCCAGCGGGACTCAGGTTTTACGTTGCGCGGAATCTCATTACCACAGAACATGTCGAGTTGCCTAGGATGAAACTGCCAGTGGGACTGAGATGTTACGTTGCGCGTAATTATGCAATGTCATTGAGCGCAGAACAGGAGCTCAAGGATTCTTACTTTGCAGCCGCTGCTGAGACACGAAAGGAGCTGCAGGAGGCCGGGCCTTCGCCGTTGTAGAAGGACTTCGCAATAATAAAATATAGTATAATGTACTGCAGTATACTACAATATAACATAGTATACTGTAATGTAATTTAACATAATCTAGTACAATATAATATTTAGAATTCTACTGCGCTCGGCTCACATCCGGCAGGGCCGACTCGAAGAGCTGCCCCTTGCGCCACCGGAGGCGGAAGAAGAACAGCTGGCAGCCCAGGAGCAGTTATCAGACTTCGCATAAGAGCGTGGCAGGTGCGTTGTCTCAACCTCCTTTGCCCCTTGAGCTTCCACTTCGAGGCCATCAGAGTCATATCAAAATACCTTTGGTCAGTTTGTGATTTGCTGCTGGCTTGGCTCAGGGTCGGAGCTCCTGCTTGGAGCTTCGCGCGGAGCTGGCGCGACGAGTCTCTTTAGCAAGGCCCTTCCACTTCGGCGAGGCGGGACAGCAAAAGACCAGCCCCACAGGTTCTCAGGTGGATTCCAGGCGGTATCAGGTTCCGGTGCTGGACTTGTGAACCGGCTTCGTGCTTCTGATGCGGAGGTGAAGCTGTGGGCAGAGCTTTTCGAACGTTTCAAGAAGATGGAGGCATCGGTCAGCGAGTGGCTTCATGGGGTGTGGTGACGTGTTGAAGAGGGGGACAGATTTGGCAACTAATGTGGTGCTGAGTTTAGTCCGGCGGGGCTGCAGAGGGGGCAAAGCCTAAAGCCCTTTAGAGGGGTGTGAGAAGGGTATGTAGAGAGACATAGGCTCTTCAGTTTGGGGGGCTTTTGTGGGGGCCCAAAGCCTCGAAAACATTTCTCAATCACTTCAAGAGAGTTACCAACACTAAGAACCTTTCATTCATGTTACATGTTGAAGGTTTGTTCCCTTCATCCTACACTCTTTCCCACCACCGGTCAACTCAAATGAGTTTTCCCAACTCTTTCTATCATTCCAAGACTCAGTGAAGACTGACACCACTAGCAGAAAGGAAACTGAAACATGTCCTTCCGGATGATGTTTTAGCGAGTTGTAGAGGACACACCCAACCATTGCAAAATCTTCAATAAGCACCGCAAACAGGGTCACCTAGTTAATCCCAGTGCCACATTGCAACAAGTGTGCCGACACATTCGCCAGCATCTTTCAATCCAAAATGCTAATGCACCTCTGTGTCTCCAGTCTCTCACGCCACGGGTGATGTTTGCCCCGCCTAACAAGCAATTTTGCAGGCCTGTAGGGTCATAGGGTGCTAACACTGCGTAGGGACGACTTTGCACGCATGTCTTGCATGGCTACTCGCTGAGGCACCCGGTTGTGTTTGATGCGCTTCAGGGTCGATTTCGGTGCCATTTTGCCGGTTACTTCATGTTACTTCGGAAGAAGGGTCCAGAGCTTGGGCATACCGTGCAGGAGCCAAATTGTTGCTCTTGGTGGATGAGTTAGGGTCGTATATGTATCAAGGCTTTTCAGGCACGTCGCTTCAAGGCGCTGTTCAGCGTTTGGGCATGTTGGGACTTCTCAGGGATCGGGAATTAGCTGCTCCGCTACAGGAGGCCGGTGCGACCTTCAGCGCGGAGGAGACCACCTTGCGAGCAGAGGCCACCTGACCTGACGTAGTGAACTGTCAGGCTATGTTTGACTGAGAACTCTACAAGCCTAGAAAGCTTTGTGCTGACATTATTACAGAAACCTAAAAGGTCCGCGCCCTGGAAGTTGCCTGCCTTGGCACAGTTCTGGAGGTTCAGCCGGTTAAGCTTGCGGACTTTGGCCGCGAAAAGCAGGGTCACACCGTTCTTCATCAGAAGATGCCCTGAGGTAGATCGCGAGCTGGCGCGCTGTGCCGAATTTTGGCAAGGTGTCGGTACTCTTCCAGCAAGTGGGAGTGAAGGACACCAGCTGAAAGAGATCCTCGGCGACAGCAGACAGGACTAGCGAGCAAGCGGTACTGAAGCACATTGTGTCTCCATCTGTGATAGGAGCGTGCTGCGCATCAAGTGTGTATCAGAGAGAGATCGTTGAGCATCGCTGAGGGAGTTCGCGCTGTGGGTGAAGGGCTCGGAAGGCTTCCATCTCATGTGGTTCAGCGATTTCCCGTTGAGCAAATTTTTGAGTGGCCCGCCCACGAGCTAAAGGATGCACAAGCCGTGCCCCTGCCGCGGTGCCGTGGTGCGTGTAAGTCTTCGGCATCCTGAAGACAGCAATCTTCGATCAAATGATTTCCTGCATAAGCGGTTTCTGTGTGAGGCACTACAAGCAAGCTGTTTCTGTTTCTGCTTCGAGATACAGTGTCTTCGGCCACGCCCCTACCCTAGCCGGGTAGATCTTATCGCGATGACTGGCTCCTTTCTGTTTGCGCGACGCTGCATACGCCGGTTATGTCACTTGCAGGAAGCTGTCACTGATGCAAGTTGCAAGAAGTACCCAAAAGTCGGCAAACAGAGAGTAAAGAAGTCCAGATGGCCATACATGGCCATACCATTTTTTTCCGGCGCGGAAATAGATCTCAGCGAGAGCGAGTAGCGTCATGCAAGCTGTGTGCAAGAGCCCTGGGCCTTGCAAGCCATCACACATGTAGTGGAAACACCATTGCTTGCAGATGCAGTGGCTTGGCCGAAACAACGAGTTTGATGCTGGCATCTGTTCAGACTGAGACGCTAAGAGGCTCAGTTGCGCAGAGGCACAGAGCAACCATGCATTAGCCTTGCAGTTCAACACGGAGGTGCTAACCCCCTGCTGCTACACAGGGCCTAAGGCCTGTCTATAGGGTCTCATCCGTAATTCTGCTACTGGGACTGAGAGTTCGCGAAGTGCCGCGTGACGAGCATGGCGTACAATCAATACGAGCCTCGGCTCGGATGGCGCAAACTTAGCAGTCGCCAGTGCAGGTGTGGCGGCAGCGCCAGTCCTTGAGTGCCAGTTTGGTGATTCGGTGCCGTCTACTTTTTATTGGAGCTGTAGCCGACTGTTGTCCACAATGATTTCAAAGCAAAGGCGGTTCTACTGTACTAGCCGCAGACGACGAGTAGAACTGCAGGGAGCAGCAGCCTTGCATCCTGGGTTGCCTAGGCGTACAGCCAGTCCCAACAACCGACCTCGCCTGGACATGGCCAGCCGCTTCAACAACCGGGCGTTTACAGGACGAAGACATGTTTCGAGATCCTGCTCGTACTATATGCTAGCATGAGATTGCAGGATGAGCAGCATCCAGGGTGGTGGCGACCCCATGGGGCGTCGACCAAGTGCCATGTTCGGGAGGAGCCGTCTTTTCGAAGTGACGACACAAAGTTCGGGCGTCTCTTTCAAGTCTGTCGGGCCAGTCCGGTCAGCAACGCAAAGGTTGCGCGCATTTCGGCAGATGTTTACCGGATGCAGATCCTTCCGGGGCACATGAAAAGGACCCGGAGCGATGCAATGACCAGCCTCCTCACGGCAGAGGGGCCCATCGGCCAAAGCTTGTCTGCACCCGAGGCTGGACAGCTGGGTGTTTAGTGTGAAATTGCCATGGGTGGCCGAAAGAAGCCAACTGTTTCCCAGGAGGAAGCGCAAGATGCGCCTCGAGCAAGAGAAGCTGTTCTTTTCGGGCTTTCAGTTTCTGTGCCGCCGAGTAAGCATCCCAGGAAGCCACAGAGGAAGCATCGGAGGAGCCATCCGTGAAGCCTAAGTTTCAAGCAAAACTGGTATGTGGCATCTTGTCTCGCATTGCCCTTCACATTTACGCATAAATTGGTTCATTCCGGCTGGATTTCGACATGAATGTTGCGTGCTTGAGTTTCGCTGCGCACACGACATCGTCTTCAGTCTGGATGTTAAGGGCGGCCTGCCCATGGCAGGTGCAGCAGTCTAGCTGTCTGTGCGTGTGGTCCGAGGCATATTTGATGAGCGACCCTTCTTTCCCACAGTGCTGCTGGTATCACTATTGCTTGGTGCGTTTTGCATGCTGACGGAGCAGCGGGAATTGATCAAGGAAATGCATCCTGCCTGCGATAGTTCAGCAAGAAGTCCCAGCTAAACTTTTACTTCAATTGTCCTAGCTGCTACTTCTCACCCAGTGGCCCAGGGTATGTCTTTCGACCGTTTACTCTTTCTGTTCGAAACAAGCTTTTCTCTGACATTCTTTCTCTCGGGTAGCTGAAGTTTGGGCCGAGCAGGTAGGACAGAGCGACTCCGACAGAGTGGATTCATGGACTGGAAAGATTGCGCCGCAGCCAAGGTGTGGGGGCTCCTGGTTGTTCACCAACTTCTTCTCCGTGGCCGCCTGAGACAAAAGCATGCGGGAAGACTGCAACCGTAGCAACTGGACCGAAGAATGACTGCTGCAACAGCCTCCCAGGTGCTCTACATCGCACCCTGGCCTAAAGCGACGACAAGATAACAGCACGAGAAGAAGCTCCAAGCTGAAACTCGACACAGCTGAGGTCACACTGGCATGCTTGCTGACGTGCCTTCTCTCGGACCCAGGCCGGCTGAGGCATAGTGACAGTGAGGCCATTCTAAGATACCAGTAGGAGCGGGTGTGGGACGGAACAGCAGGACAGATGAGCAGGGAGAAGCATGATGAGATGCAATCTGCCGGCCTCCCCTTGCCGAAACGGTCTCACAAAGCGTGGCACTTCGACTCCTTTAGTTTGCGCCTTTCTGCAGTCCCGGGTGCTGGTCCTGTGTGGATTGTCCATGCCCTTCCGAGGTTGTACAAACGACCGATCCTGCGGTTTGACCACTACTGCCGATGGGTAACCAATGCACTTTCTCAGCAAACAGGTTTCAGACAGCAGACCGCTTGGCGGCCTGGCCAGCGTGCTTGTGCTTGCCCAGGTCATAGGCCTGAACAACCATCGCGAGTTCATGGTGCCCGGCCAAGACTTCCATCAACCCAGAGGGCTCGCATCTACTGCAAGGGGTAGAGTGCATTTGTTCTCTGTGCCTGCTCGGAGGTGATGTGCACGGGGCTGGCTACTATCGCCGTTTTGGGATTTGCAGTGGATGCGGCTCTTCTGTTGTGGTGCCTCCCTCAATTCAGAGTCTCGGCTTCGTGGCAGTTGGAAGTTAGCTGGGTTCGATAGGGGCACCCTTTTCTGAAAACATGGACCTGATGTATGAACATGATGAACATGTACCTGCTGTCGTTTGGCTCATGGGGTTGGAGGGCGCTCGGCAGCTGGAAACAATGCGAAGCCCACAGAAGCTGCAGCCTGCGTGCGGGACAAAGCACTGCCTGGCAACATGACGACCGGTCCGATGACAAAGCCTGGCATCATTCTGGCCTTGTCCTCATACCTCGCGATTCTTACGCTTCGGCCGTCAGGTTGCTTCGCGCGGCCACCTGCCGTTGTTCTAGATGGGGAGAACGACCAGCAAGAACGGAGGTTAGTCGTGGAGCTGAAAGAGGCTGGACGTGACGGTAATTGGTTCAAGGCCGAGATGCTTCTGGGCAAGTATACTGGCTGTGCTGTGGCGGTTTTTACAGCAGCTTTGGCTGTGGCGCATCGATGTGGAAGATATCGCGAAGGTGCCAGGATCTATGAAAAGTTCCGCGCTGCGGATCAGGTCCGTTCAAACGATGCAGCGCTCCAAGCAGAAGCTATCCGCATCTTTGCGTGCTTCGGATCAAATTGAAAGTCACTTACACAGCTCGCCACTCTTGTTTCTCCGAGACTGTGAGGAAGCTTCGAGCCTTCGGCCGCGTGCGCCAAGTCTGGGGAGAAGCCCGGGATGCAGGTGCGGTGAGCACCATGATCTTTGTCTGAAGCATGGATGTTTACCAAGTTTTATCCAGCGTTGTGGTGCTACTGTTTAAATGCATGCACATGTAAACATCAACCTCGCCTGCCTGTGGAGAGCGAGTGGCAAATAACATACCAGCACAATGACCAACAAGAGTGAAATGTGGCTTGCCTTAGACAGGTGCCATTGGATGCCATTGATATGCATTTAGACCTTTCAGCAGCCTGCCATGCTCTAATCACCACAGATGCTTGAAGCAACCGCGCAAGGAGGCAATCGTTCAGTCAGTGGATTCTGGAAATCCCCCATGATCTTGAAACTCTCAGCTCAGCGGGCCCGGGCCCTTTCCATGGGACCCAAGGCTCCTCTCCGCGCGCCTCGAGGCTGCGGCCGCCGAGGGGGACGTGGACGCGGCCGAGGCTGCTCTCCAGGAGCCTAGCGCATAAGCGAAGTTTGCGCAAGTCGATGTAGAGAACTCCTGCAAAGTAACCGCAGTTACAGCGAATTCCTCGCGTCACTTCTGCCGGTGCTCCGGGCCGCTTAGATTGGAGCTGCCCTCCAACATCTAATTACCGCTGTGGTCGTAACTCTCCGACAAAATGTCTTCTACCTGAATTGGTGGTCTCGGTTGTGAGTGTTATGAGGGCAGATTTGGGATCCTGTGCTCGGAGAGGGAGATCGTTGCTTGCTAGAACGATCGCAGTCAACGTGTAGCCTGCAGAGCAGAGTCCGACGGGCGCTGACAAGTGGGAGCCAAAAAAATTACCGCTGTCTTGAAACAATGCTTCCTGTGAGATGCCGACGCGGACTTTTTCTTGCAAGTCGTGAGGTCTGCTGCAGTTTGTTCTGTCGTAAAAAATGCGTCTTCAGGAGATGTGTGAAAGGGGCATGGCACCGGGTGTGGAGCACTTCAACTCGGCCATTTTGGCATGCGAAAACTCGGACAAGTTCACCCCGGCCGCTATGTTCCTTTTCGAGTCCATGCTGACTCAGGCAGTGGTCGTTATAAATGCACACACACACACACACACACACACACACACACACACACACACACACACACACACACACACACACACACACACACACACACACACACACACACACACACACACACACACACACACACACACACACCACACACACACACACACACACACACACACACACACACACACACACACACACACACACACACACACACACACACACACACACACACACACACACACACACACACACACACACACACACACACACACACACACACACACACACACACACACACACACACACACACACACACACACACACACACACACACACACACACACACACACACACACACACACACACACACACACACACACACACACACACACACACACACACACACACACACACACACACACACACACACACACACACACACACACACACACACACACACACACACACACACACACACACACACACACACACACACACACACACACACACACACACACACACACACACACACACACACACACACACACACACACACACACACACACACATATGTCTCCTAATTATCGGTCTGGTGGGTAGGCATTAGGAGATCAGTTTCGCGATCGTTGGAACAGACTTGATCTATCTTCTCCGTGGCCATTTTGGCGATAGCCGATCGGGCCATACCGAAAAATTCGGCGTGGGAGGTGGAAGTGAATAGGCTCGCTCGATTGCAGCCATGTCGTTCCCTCCCGCTGGCTTCCATCAAGGTCGGCAGATGGCGGCTCCGATGGCCCCACAGTTCGGGTTGCCTCGCCGGCTTGGTCAGCCTGAGAATCCGGGTAACTGGGGACACTACGTTCCAGGCGAGGCAGAGGCTCCCGAGAATCCCGCGGCTCCAGCTGCCGCATCCGGCGATTGGGGCTCTGGAGGCTGGGGTCGCGACGATCGTCGTGGACGTCGTGACCGTGGGGCTCCTGCTGCTCACAACCCCTTCGCTGTTCAGCGGCCTGAGTTCGTTCGCCAGCTCGTGGTCGAGGAAGAGGACGAGACCCAGAACTCGCTCCTCGTCATCGACAACCGCGATGACCGGGTGATCTCCCCGTTCCAGAACTGGCTGGCCGAGGAGATCATCTCGAATGCCGCCAGCTCGATCAATGTGCTGACGGAGCGGGACTCGGTCATGCCCCCGAACTCGGGCTACCACTGTTCGCTGTTCGCGAACTATACGCTCGATGGCATCAAGGCCGTTCTGCTCTTTTCGATGTCTTCGAAAACAGGGGGACCATGTGCTCAGTGGGACTCCTACGCGAGTCGGGCGCTATCGCACCCGGCTTTCCAGCCCTTCACTTGGCCGGTGATGTTCGATACCTCGGCCACCTATGTGGATGTGAAGGTCTTCAATGGAAACGAGGTCCTGTTCCATTGGGTCTTCAGGGGCTACCGCTCGGACTCGGATCTTTCTGTCCAGCAGCAGTTCTGCGACGAGGTGTTGATCCGGTCAGCCAACGAAGGATGGTTCCGACCCTCGATCGTCATCTCGGTCTTCGTTGGATGGAAGGTCTCCGTGACCTCGTTCGAGGTTGGAGCCCGAGTCTACACGATCGGCCCGAGAGGAGCAGTGATGGCGAGCGACCATGCCATGAGCACTTGTGAGCTCAGGGTGACAGAACGCTCGTCCCGAGAAGGCTATGGGAACGACGCCGATCGTGTTGAGTTTCGGTTCCGGGACGCCAATAACCGGATCGATCTCAAGTGCGGGAGGACTTCGGTGCCTGGCACGTGGCTCACAGTCAGCCACATCTCGGGCCCCGCTCTGATCAGCACGATCCAGGCCTGTCGGACCCAGCGTGCTCGCGTGGAAGGTCCAGACCACATCCAGCAGTTCGCGCAGCTGTCTGCGGTGATCGCCCCCTGGTACCACAGTGCGTTCGCCCACGAACAGGTGCAAGTGGGAACTGCGACAGACGAGTTCCCGATGGATCATGGGAACTTCCACGTACGGGCTAGATCTAAGCTCAGGGTCTGCCCACTGGAGTTCGTCCGGCAGGAGGCGCTCGCCCACCGGTCGCACGATGAGAACAACGCCGTTCGAGCTCGGAACGGCCCCCCGGCTCTCATGGAAGAGGCGGCTCGGCAGGCGGTTCAGCAGCTGGGCTCCTCGGTCACTTCGGCGATCACCAACATGCCCACCTCGGCTCAGCAGGTGTTCGACCAGAGGGTGAGCACTGTTCCGGTGCCGGAGGAGGGCCAGCTCGGCCAGGAGCAGATTGCCGAGGAGGTCGTCACCGATGCCCGCGATCGCATGAGGGCCGACATGCGATTCTCGCGCACGTCGGCTGCGATCACGCCTCAGGTTTTCACCGACGTGCTCCAGCACCGTGAGCAGGCGGAGTACGAGCGGATCAGCACGGTCAGGGTGGAGGAGACGGGCCAAGAGATCACGGCTTCCCCCTCCACTACGACCACGGTGCCGAAGGCGTTCGCCCCGGCTTACCCGCCGGCCGGATCGTCAACGGGGGCCTACACGATGGACAATTCGGAGTAGTTGTCGATCGAAGGCTAGGTGATGGTCGGTTTTTGTGCACGCTCCTAAGAGAGTGGTGCGCCGCGCGACCGAAGCCTCCTGGCGGATCAGCCGGGCTCTTCCGCGGAACAAACATGCCGAGCGATCCTCTCGGCGCGCTAGATCCCAGCGCATGTTCTGCCGGAAGTGAGATTGATCAATACCTGTCTCAGGCACGGCGCTCGGTTACCATTAGCAGGCACGTGCGATCGTTCGTGCAGCTGTTCAGGCCCAGCATGGATAGGTCCGTTCGGAAGATCCTATCCCTCCCCCTGTTCGGGGATGAATTTTGCCAATGGTTGGTGGATCTTCGGATGGCTCAGTTCGAGAAGCTCACGGCTGTTTCGGACGGGACGATCGCTGAGTGTGTGCAAGCATTCATTGATCTTGTCCCTGCCCTCGAGGAACTCCACACGCCAGATCGGCGGAAGAACGAGGAGGAGCTCGGCAGGTGGGTTCCGTCGATCGAGCTGTTGTTTGTGCTGGTTCGTAGCACGGCAGCAGCGGGCTGGGCTGATCTGGCCACTGATCTGGGATTCGGCTTGGCTGAAGCTCCGGTCGTCTTCGGGCGATCGCCACTGAAGTCGAAGGGGACTGGCAAGGAGCCTCCTATGCCATTGCCGCTCGCCAAGAGGCCGCGGGCGATCGAGCCGAGGCCTGAAGATCCGCAGGCATCGCTCAAAACCCGTGAGCTCGGCGAGGCCCGAAAGTGGGGCATGAGGCTGAAAGCGATCGTGGAGAGGTGCGGCGAGCACGCCGCGATCGCGGGCAACCCGAAGCCGGGATCACCCCTGTCTCAAGATGAGATGAATGCATTGAGGTTGATCGTCTTCGAGAGTGGCGGTTTCCGCACTATCCAGCAGTGCGTTCGTCACTGGGAGAGGATTGAGACTTGGGCGAGGTCGCAGAACCTAGTGGTGATCCCGCTGACTACCGACGTGCTCGTCAAGTACCTCTTAGATCTCTCCGACCGAGGTTGCGGCCCCACCGTGATACCTTCGGTACGTGGGGCGGTCAAATGGATCTGCAAGCGGATCGGCTTGTCGTTGCCCGACCTCCTCGATCCCCGGATCATGGCCTTGCAGAAGAAGGTCTATGGCGATCGCGGGAAAGAGACGAGGGAAGCGGTTCCCATCCCTCTGATCTTGGTGGCGGCGCTCGAGCGGTTCGTGTGCGCTCGTTTTAAGTCGAGCCAATTCCCCATGGCGTTCTTCGCATGGTGGGTTCTCGTGATGATCTACTCGTCCCTCAGGTTCGACGACGCGCTCCACGTCGTGCCCGAGGCGCTCGCCCTGAAGGACGAGGCTCTCTATGGGGTGGTTTGGCAGACTAAGGTCGAGCGACAAAAGAAGGGAACGCGGTTCGCGGCGGCCAGAGTCTCCGTCTCCGGATCCGACTGGATGGAAGACGGATGGCACGCAGCTGCGTTCGAAATGGACGATCGCGACTACTTCATGAAAGAGCTCGAATCGGCTGAGCGATTCGCCGATCGGCCTGCCAGCTACCAACGGAGCATCCTGTGGCTGCGGTACGTGCTCACTACTGCAGCTTCGGACGATCTGAAGCGCGGGCACATCTCGCCCGAGCGGCTCAAGGAGCTCCTGAAGATCGTGCCGGAGATCACTTGGCACCTCTCGGCGGCGGTCCAGGCGCAGGAGCCCGATAAAGAGATCGGGCTCCAAGCGAACTGGAAGGATCCGAGCCAGCTGGTCCTGAAGTACGCTCGGAGCCGCAAAGAGATCTCGATCGAGATGGTCAAGCGGCTCACGAAGAGGATAGCATCCGACTGGAAATCTCCACCGGAGTTCGAGGCCGACGATACCAATCTGGTCGACTTCGGTGATCTCGCTCTGACCTATGTCACCAAGGCTAGATCGGCTGCGGGGTCCTCAAAGGATCTGAGTCTTAAATATCATGCCATGTATATAGATGGTACGGGCACGGAGCGAACGCTCTGCGGCCGGTACGCGATCACCGAGTGCGAGGATCTCGGCGAGATTCCGCCGAGTACTCAGATGTGCTCGTTGTGTTCCGGTAAGATCTTTACGGAGCCGTGAACACAGCTGTTCGCAGTCACGATGGTCACTCGAGCTGAGCCTCTCCCTGACCGTAGCTTTTCTTTTCAGACAGCTCGTTAGGCAGCCATGGTCGATCGCACCGCATACGCGAATGAGGCGGCGACCCCGAAGCTGAACCTGCGCCAGATCTTCGGGAGACAGGGGCTAGATCCAGCCCTCTGCAGGCTCTCGGCCGACAAAGGTCTCCTCACAGTCGAGATGTTCGCAATGCTGGGGCAGGATCTCACCTCGGCGAAGGCGACAATCCGTCGGCTGTGGCAAGATGACTTGACCCAGCTCGGGGCTGATGCGGCAGCACAGGAGCTCTCCGTGATGTCCTTGGCAGCGGTGTGGCAAGCTGCTCAAGCGCTGCAAACGCAATACGCCTCTCGGCGAGCTCGTATGGAGGAAGACCCGAACAAGATCCCGGAGCTCTCCCAAGAGGACCACGCGGAGTTTCGCGATCGCTTCGTGAGGGTTCACCCCGACGTCATCCTGATCGACGCCAAAGAGCCGCATAAGAAGTTCGTCGAACGGCTGTCCCGCGATTTCCTGATCCATGGGATAGTTCCATTCTACGAGCCGGCCGAGATCAGGACCCGCTCGGATGTTATAGTGGTCAAGTCTGGACTTTCTCGGAACGCCGAAGATCTCCTGTCCATCTCTAAGGCTGATCAACCCGAGCCGGTCACCGATGTCACGACTCTGTTCAACCGTCTGCATGCTTTCTTCATGGCGCTCGAATACCTCAACATTTGCGCGTTCTCACGCGCCGAGGGCCCGCTGAAGTACTTGCAGGAATTGGAGCAGTTCCGCTCGGAATGTCCCGGCTTGCCATTCCTCATGGCGGCGGACCGAGCTATCCGGAAGAAGATCTTTCGCCTGCTGTCTGAACAGAGGGCGACGTACATCTCGTTCTCGCAGGCCCTGGTCGAGGTGCTCACCAACCACAAATATTTGTGGAACGATGCTCGCACTTCAGCGACTCTCTCGAAGATGGAACAGAACCGCCAGCAGCTCGCGAATAACCCTGATCAGGTCAAGGAGGATGAAGTTCCTCCTCCTCCCCACACCCCGTTCAAAAGGCCTCGGGGCGGAGGGAAGAAGAAGAAGCGACTGCAGACTCCTTCGAAGGACGATCCGCCGAAGAAGGTCGTTAAGGAAGATCCCAACAAGAAGCTCAAGCGGGACAATCGGATCCCAGAGAAGGAGTGGAAGCTCATCGCCGATGCGGCCAAGAAGGTGCAGGGAGCTCGCCGGTGCCACTACTTCAACTCCTCGCTCGGGTGCGTGTCTGGCGACAACTGTCGTTTCAAGCACCTGTGCATGGTCTGTGGGGAGCCGCATGCCATGATCAGCAACCACTGATCGGTTCCCAGCGAATCTGATAGTGCTCCTCACCTTACCTTGTCCGGCGCGCGTGGGGGCTGTGATCTGGAATCCCGCGCACAAGATCTCCTGAAAAAGCGAGCTCCGCTTCTGCGTGAGGAGATCCTCGACTTGGCTACAGAGCTCCCTGTTCAGGGTCAGCATAAGGCTGCCGACGAACGAGGCGGGGCTTTCTTCGCGGGAGCCTATCGCCATGGAGGCATCACAAGACTGCGATCGTCCTGTCACTCATGGCCGTGGTCGATCAAGGCGATCACCACGTACATCGCTCAACAGGCTCCTGAGGCGCTCTTCACGTCGTTCGCCGTCCTCTACTATCAGGAGGCCGAACCTCACCGTGACTCGGGCAATGAGCCGATCCCGAACATTGTCTTCAAGCTCGGGTCGTTTGAAGGAGGCGGGCTCTGGATCAAAGACCCGCTCGGGCCCGATGTGAGAGAAATCGAGGGACGCTCCATCCCCGGTTTCCTCACCGACTTCGTCGACAATAAGATCCTCTTCAACGCTAAGGAAGCTCTGCACGCGACTCTGCCCTGGATCGGAACTCGGGTGGTCCTCGCCGTGTACTCGGTGCAGGGGGTCGATCGGATCCGTGCCGACGAGTTCGAACAACTCCTTCAGTTGGGCTTCACGTGGATCGGTCCTGGCAAACTCTCACTTTTGCGCTCGAGACCCCGGACTCCGATCGGAAGCGGCCCCATGGCGTCCCGGTCAAAGCCGCGGAACATCGTCAACGATCGGCCGGCAAGAAGGCCGTCGCCGCGGGTTACCAGATGAAGAAGTCTGTCGTGGCTCCGCTGATCGGCCCGGAGATGCACCCGGGTGAAGCGATCGCTTTCGCCTTGGAAGCTACGCACCCGTTCACAAAGGACGCGGATATCGACCCAGACCTGCTTGATGTTCTGGAGCAAATTGTTCGTGATCCTGCTCAAGTGCGCGATCGTCGAGCCTCTCTTCTGCAGCATTGGGAACGGCGAGCTCAAGATCTGCTCCCGTCCTCTGACTCCTTGCTCAAGCAGATACCAGATCGGCATTTGCGCCGTCTTCTTCGCGGCGGCCCAGACGATCGTCCACTGGAAATGGGTCAGTTTTTCCACGTCGCCCTTTGGCGGGAGCTCATGAATGAGGCCAAATGCAGTGACACTGACCTGGTAGATCAGATCATGGCGGGCATGCCGATCGTCGGCGATATTGCCTCCTCCCACCGATGGAAGCCCGATCGCAAACCTCATGCGGAGCATCTCTCGGTTGATGCCCTTCGCTCGAGGGCCTGGGAATTTCGATCGAAGGTGTTAGGCGCGATTCGGAAATCTCCGATCACCGAGCACTCTCCCAAGGTCTGGGAAGGGACCATGGAAGATGTTCGAGAAGGGTCGGCGATCGGTCCCTTCTTCGACGAGGCCGAAGTCTCGGAGCTCGTCGGCGATGATCGTTGGATCCCTACTCAGCGCTTTGAAGTGGTTCAAAAGAACAAAGTCAGGGGAGTTGACAGTGCTACCTCAAATGGGATCAACATGGCGACGATCGTCACCGAGAAACTCGAACTCCCCTCGACGGACGCGAACGTGGCGGTGATCAAGTGGCTGCGCTCGCGGCTGCCGAAGTCCCCGCTACGTGGTTGGGTCCTGGACGAGCGGCGAGCCTATCGGCAGGTGCCGATCTCTCCGGCCCATCGCAAGTGGAGTGTGGTCGCTCTGAAGGATCCGGCCACGGGAAAGGTGGCGTTCTTCGTGATGGTCGGCCACTCCTTCGGCTTGGTCTCGGCCGTCTATAACTACAACCGCCGCTCGGCTGCGATTACCGACATTCTAAGGCGCGTGTTCATCGTGGCCGGCTTCAACTTCTATGACGACAAGTACGGCTTCGAGCCGGAGGCCACGGCAGATAGTGCGTTCGCGCTGGCCGAGAAGGTCCATTGGTGGCTCGGGGCCCGGTTCGATCAGCAGAAGCTCCAGCTCTGCTCGGATCCCACGATCCTGGGCGTGACCTATGACCTCGATCAGTACTTGCTCAAGATCAAGAAGTCCAGGAAGCAGGAGCTCTTCGACGAGATCTCGTCGATCCTGGAACACGAAGAGATGTCTCCCGGCCAAGCCGGGAAGCTCAGAGGAAAGCTGATGTTCGGCGCTTCGCAGCTCTGGGGGAAGATCGGCCGAGCCTTCCTGAGATCTCTGTCGGAGAGGCAATACTCCCGGAAGACGGTCAGTACGAGCCTATCGCCTGCTCTCCTCTACTCTACAAGTGGCGGACGCTCGTGATGCATGGGCCTCCGAGTCGGCATGGGCCTCCGAGGCCTATCCCCAGTTCGGGGCCGCGGAAGTCCGACGTGGTGATTTTCACGGATGGATCGGCGCCGAGCTCGAACCCCAAGGATCCCTCTTCTGAGATGATTGGAGGAGTGATGTTCACTAGGGACGATCAGCCTAGGCAATTCGCCTCGGGGGTGTCACGGCAGATCATGTCGAGGTGGTTCCCCCGGAAAACCCAAATTTGCATGATCGAACTTTTGGCCGCGGTCGCTGCGATACAGACTTTCAGGGAAGAGATCCGTGGAAAGCTGGTCCTCCTCTTTATCGATTCCGAGCCTGTAGAGGCAGCTTTGATCAAAGGCTACTCTGCAAAAGAGGACGTCTGCGAGCTCGTAGGAATTTTCTGGGAGCTTGTTCTGGAGCTTAGGTGCTCTGTTTATATCGATCGGGTACCGACCGATTCGAACCCGGCGGATAATCCCTCTCGTGGTGATGTCGCTACAGGTCTGATGTGTGGTTGGATCACGGTCCTCTCGGACTTTCCGAAAGGAGTTTGAGGGCCTGGGAATATCGCTTGTCTGATGTGTCCGATCGGATGATGTTGCGGTCTGTGGCGAATGCCATGGCGCACCCCTCGGCGATCGGGGGTCCGATCGGACTTGTGAAGATCAAGTGAAATTTTGATGATCCGACTGTGGCCGACTCCCACGTTGCGGTCGCATGAAAAAGGTGCGATCGCCGATAGTCTGTTCAGTGAGGGCACCGAACGTCTGTGATCGTAGTAACTGGTCTCCTAATTATCGGTCTGGTGGGTAGGAATTAGGAGATCAGTTTCGCGATCGTTGGAACAGACTTGATCTATTTTCTCCGTGGCCATTTTGGCGATAGCCGATCGGGCCATACCGAAAAATCCCACCCTCTCCACCCTATCTGTTCTTTTCGGTATGCGGGATCCTCGCAACGACGTTGGCCTTCAAGCGCTCGCTTTCGGCGACACAGATCAGCTCTGCCGTCCCTGCGTGGATTGCGGCCTGTTCACCGGCTGCTTCTGCGACGGGGACGGCCAAGACGAATGTTACGCAGCCGTTCGGGTCCCCCGCGAAGAGTGGGCCCCCAACCAGCGCACTCCTTTGTGCACGGCTTGCGATCGTCGCCTGGATATGTGTCATTTCTGCCGAAAGACCTCCTGGGTCACGCCGCCGGCTCATCGTGATCGCGATCGTCACCAGCCGGCCGGCTACGATCACGGGGCAGATCCTCCCCTCCACTGGGATCAAGTGATGGGCGTGCCCTCTGTTCAGCGGCCGGTGCCCAAAGCGCCCCCGGCCCGAGCTCATCGAAACAGAGGCATGGATCAGCCGGTCTACTACGTGGATCCCAAGGCTGGTCTGCCGCGCCAAGGCCGAGCGGCTCCGAAAGGGCGTTCTCCTTTGTTCGCCGAGCCTGCTCAGTACATAGTTCCAGGGCAGCCCCCCAGATCGCTCGACACAGTGCCCGATGATGTCCGCATCAGCGGACCGGCTCACTATGTCATTCCGGGGCAGCCCCCGCGGCGGCTAGATCAGCTCCCGCCCGGTACGCAGCTCCCTCCCGGCACCGAGATCATGGTGTCTACGAGGAGCTCGAGTCCGCCGACCAAGGCGCCCCCGACTCCCGCCCAGATCGCGGCGTACCAGGCTTCTCGCGCTACTCCCGCTCGGACGAGAGCCAAAGCTGCTCCTGACGCAGCTTTTCGTGCCGCCGAGCGGCAGTTGATTGACTTGCTCGGCGCGGCCCCCCTCGACGATGATCCAATCGAGGAGCCGTCGCCGGAGCCCGATGATCCGATCGAAGACTTTTAATTTTGTTCGCGGGGAATATCGCTTGTCTGATGTGTCCGATCGGATGATGTTGCGGTCTGTGGCGAATGCCATGGCGCACCCCTCGGCGATCGGGGGTCCGATCGGACTTGTGAAGATCAAGTGAAATTTTGATGATCCGACTGTGGCCGACTCCCACGTTGCGGTCGCATGAAAAAGGTGCGATCGCCGATAGTCTGTTCAGTGAGGGCACCGAACGTCTGCGATCGTAGTAACTGATATATATATATATATTATATATATATATATATATATATATATAGGCCACGTATTACCTGCTATGCAGTCGCGAGACTCGCCATGCGGGAGCCAAAAAAAAAATATATATATATATATATATATATATATATTCATACGCATAGCCCAGGGTCCCTCCATATGTGTCTATATATATATATACACATATAAACATCTACTATAGATAAAGATACGGGTAGTGTTTCTAAATTGTGTTGAAAAAGCATAATGCTTCCTTGATTCCGGCTGCTCTGATCATCAGCGTGCTTTGCACGTTTCGGCGCAGGGTGTGATGCCAAACATCGCTACGCTGAGCACATTGACAGCATGTTACGCTGCAGCGCCTCTCGCCGATGTCCTGGCTGTCGGAGCGAAGGTGCAGGCCTTAGGCCTGAAAGCAGATTCTGCCTTTGCAGAGGCATATACATGTGCCATTCTGGGGCTGCCTCGGAATAAGCGCATGTACGGCCGGACTTTGACGACTTTCGCCAAGACCCTGGAGAGTCTCAGCAGCGCGCGCAAGGCTGCTGCCCGACGGGCGATCTCTGAGCTACGGGCCGATGGGGTCAAGCTACCACGCTTCTGTGCCTCTGAAAAGTTGGAATCGGAGATCATGTGTTTGAGTACTTAGTGTGATGGCCTCCCGCTGCAGAAACGTTGTAACTTGTTGGTCGAAGCGAAAGCAAGCTTCCTTTCGATAGGACCTGCAAAGCTTGGAGCCTGCACCGAGGGGCTGCGACCTTGGACCAAGGTCAAATCGTGGCTGCTAAGCTTTTCTTCCCTGGTGCGATGATCAAGGTTGCCACCAAGACTTGGCCCAAAGCCGGAGGTTAACTTCGACCGGAGCATTCCTCTGGCTTGAGAAGTGCGAGGGAACAGCGAGCCGCTGGGAGTTTAAGCGCTCTGCTCCTGGCCGGACTCGCTGTGCTGAGGCTGCACTCGGTTCGCTTCGAAAGTTTCACAGTGCTCCTTCAGGCTCGAGTCGGCTCGAGCTTAAGAGAGAGAGAGCCTTTTGGGGCCGCCTGGGGCCTAGGCCCAGGCCCTCTGGAAAGGAAGCTGCTTGCAGCCAGAAGCTGAATGATCTGCATCAGTGAGCTGCTGGCTGCTACTTCTGGTGATGGCACAAGCCCATATGCGATCAAGCTCCTCGCCTTCTAGGTGGCCCTGGCAGTGAAAAATGAGGTGAAGCTCCATGCGTGGCCTTTTGCTTAGATTCGCCGATACCGGTCTCACTGTGTAATAGGACCATTAGGACCTGCGTGCTGCCGCGTTGTAGAGTGAATTGGTTTAGGCCGGAGCGTGGATGTCGAGTGTCATGGCTTTTGTTGTCACTCTCGAAACCCGGGAGCGGGAACTGCAGCTCCTAGAGCAAAACCAGACGCAAAGACAGATTCTGTTTTCGCACAACCTCGGGCCAGGGCCGGGATCAAATTCTGACATCCTATTATACAGGTAGTGTTCCTTAAATGTTGCTGGAGGGTTTCCTCTGCCTTCCTCTGCGCGACGAAAGGTGTTTAAAGCTGAGACGGGTGAGGCAACTTCTACATCCAGTTTTTCAGATTCACCACCCGAGGATTTCCAATCTTCGTCGTTCTCCATATGGGATATTCTGCAATCTTCGGCAAGTACATCATGCCAATATTCACAATCCACGCAGCTGGGCAAGCAGAAAAGATCGTCGCAGTTGGTTACCACATCTTGTTCTAAAATCCGTTGTCAATCAAGCCCACTGCTCGACATTTTCGCAGGACTGACCCTTGACATTTGAGGTAGGCTTCGTCTCAAGGAGTGAGCTGGCGAAGGATTACAAAAACGATGATGCTTCGCTGAAAATTCTGAAACTGAAGAAGAGGTGTTGGAGCGGTTCGCTGTGGCAGCTCTTGATGTGCATTGCAGGGGTTGCACTGCTTCCACCGAGCCAAAGCCAAAGCCAATCAACCCAGACATTCCCCATTCGTCGCAGCAAGGAGTTTTGGGTTCTCAACGATGCGGAGACCGGTGAGTCGCTGGGCGAGTTGCAGTTGTGGAGCAACAGGACCATCCTGGTGGCAAAGCTGAGGAGCACTCCAGCGAAGGATCTCGATGCAGATATCTACAACGAGGCTTTCGACAATGATGCCCTCACCTACGACAGTGGCCCTCCCAAGAGTCAGCTGCCTCCACTAAGGGAGCTGAGAAGTTGCGCAGTCTTCTGAGGTCGGAGAAATCCCTGGGACAAGGGCTGGAAAAGCACCTTGTTTGCACGACGGGGCGGAGCCTAAACTTTCAAACAAAGCCCCGAGCACTTCAATGGCAGGGTTTCGCTGCCTCGTATCTAGAAAAGCTTCTCTTTTGCGCGTCGGCATGTCGCGTCTGCCGCGTGCTGCCCGCTCTTCGGAAGACGAGGCAACTGTTTCACATTCTGGTGCACTCCAAGATGGACTCCGGATCAGCTGGGCGAGTTTTAAGCAGCCACTGGCAAAGCGGACAACCTTGCGGCACAATTCCTGCTTCGAGGCAGTTCGAGTGCTTCGCAAAGCCAGTAGATGCATGCATTGGAGCGGACAATGTGGCCGCCGTGCCGGTTGTGTGCCAGTGGTTCGTCCCATATTGCCGAGATGTTTTAGCTGTTTCACATGGGTCGCCCAGGAATTAATAAAGAAAGCTTCAAGGTCGACAGTTTGCTAAGCTTGCCACATCATGAGTTGAAGCTTAGTGTTTTTTCTGCCTTGGTCGGTGTGCAGTGAGCTCCAGCAGACTTGGGCCACCTACCTTCCCTTGGAAGACGCCATGACTTGACTGGGCTGCATTGCGCTCGCTAAAGGCCGCGACATCGTTTCAAGGAGTAAAACTTGCAGACACGGGACCCCACGTCAAGTGACTCAGGGTGGAAGCAGTTCTGTGAAATACATGAGCTGTGTCAAGACCTAAGAAGCCACCACACAGCTGCGGATACACTCAGAAAGCACACCCGAGTCTGAAGTTCTTAAGATGCCAGCGCATGTCAAGCTTTGTCGGAGAAGGATGGTGGTGTATTGCGGTCCATGCAGGCAGCGAGAGATCTAGGAGAGAGAGTCATTGGGCAGAGCTCTCCAAGTCTCGTGCGGCCTACTGCCAGTTTGAGTGTCCGAGTGATTTGCGTAGGCTCGAGATCCCTCATATCAGCCGCTTGGGCCAGTTCCGAGCCAAAACTTGCTGCCGCAGTAAATCATGAAATCTTGCGCGGCTTGCCCGGAACATTCCCCCCAACTACTAGTGTGTGTGTGTGTGTGTGTGTGTGTGTGTGTGTGTATACATACATACATATATATATATATATATGTATATATATATATATATGTATATATATATATATATATATGATCCCGGTTCGGCCGCCCCCCCCCCTTCCCCCCCTTCCCCCCCCAATGGTTCCTCCTCCCCCCCCTTGTGGTGTGGTGCGGTTGTTGCTTCACCCTCCCTGTAGTGTGGTGTGGTGTGGTGTGGTTCGGGAGTGGGTCTGCTTAGGCTGGTTACCCCACTCCCCCCTGTGGTGTGGTGTGGTTTGGGTTTCCTGCGTGGGTCTGCTTGGCGTGTGAGCCCTCGTGTGGAAAAAGCTTGCACAGTCACACACAGATTCGACTTGGGGAGCGTGGTGGGGGGGGGGGGGTCGGTGAACCGAGAACCGGGATCATATATATGATGCCGGCTCTGCCCCCTGCATGTGCCTCTGATGTTCTCCATTTGTTAAGGTATGCAGGCCACCGAGCAGAAGCTGCAAGCTTGGTTGACTTGTCACATGCTGTGCTGTTGGACTTCTATTGGATTGGCTGCTTAGCCGCTAGCAAATCTACACAGGTATGCTTACAGCTGTTTGGAAGTAATGGTAGTTGCATTGTCATCCTCATTGCGATTTCTACTACACTGGAGGTAGCGGATTTCCTCGGTTTCCGTTACCGATGGTGCCCCTGGCCTGTTGCTGTGGCATAGCTGTCGCTCTGGTGCACTCGCGGAGCATTGCTTTAACGCCCGACGCCTCGCCCCTGTGGTTTGGTGGTAGGTTCGGTTCCGGCGCGAACCGTGTTTTGCAACCTGCCCCCACCAAAACAAAGACAGTCATGCAAGCACGATATCGTGCCAGCGACGTATGCCATGTTCGAGATGGGAAACTGCCCCGCATGTCGAAAACTTGCGAGAGTCAGGGGAAACCAGAGACAATTGGCGGTTTGTCATCGCGATATCGACCAATCCTCCGAAAACGAGGACTGTTACGAGGATCGTGTCCCCAACCAGGCCAGACGGGTCCGGGACGGGGGGTCAGGGGCGGTATAGCACCGGGGGAGGAGGGGGGTTTAGCAGCCCGGGACCCGAGACCATATGATGCTGGGACTATCTATATATCTATATATGTATGTGTATATATATATATATATGTGGAAACTTAAACTGACTTAATTATTCCGTGGCACTGTAACAAGCACTGGCTTTGATGCCCACGCACTGGGTTTGCAACACAGGGAACCGATTATGCCCCATCTCCTTGTAATTCGTGATGTGTATTTTCTCTCGGCTGACAGGGCGTCCTGCGTTCCATTATATGCACCAGCGGTTGTGAGGAGGCTACGTATCCACTTCGTCGCCCATGCTTTCGATCGGTACTGGTCTACACAGCAATAGAAAGCATCGGGTACACCAACAGCCAATGCCTGCACATGGCCACAATGACATAAGCTTTGGTCATGTAATCGCTCTCGCAATGGACCCTGCTCGCGGGGACATGGTCTCACGGTGAGGCACCCTTGTATGGTGAGGGCCAAGGATTAAAGTCTGAGAGCAAGACTGGTTTTAGCTCTGCCCTTCGAGCTGTGTGCCGTCTTCTCAGCAAGTCAGGCATCCAAGTGCCGGATTCGTTTTGTCTGAGCCCCGGGAAGACGAGAAGCATGAGTGCGGCGGAAACTCGGCCGCACCTCTAGCCACCGGGTTCGCTAGACCTTTCTTTGCGAGTAAGACCATTGCATGGATTGTCCGCTTCCTTCTCGCACAAAGCCCGACCTGGAACAAAAGCAGCACAGCGAGCAGTGTCGTGGACGAGCAACCCCTATGGCCGAAGTCGCACTGCTGATATGCTCTTCTCCAAAATCCCGGCAAGGGGACCAAGAGTTAAACGGAAGACCACATTTCACCTTCCAGTGTTGCGGCCCGCGCAAAACGCACATGCCTGAGCACTCGGCGCTTTATCAGTCCTCAATGTCCAAGAAGACGTGGGAGAGTGAGGACGAGAGATGCGTGCAGGTGACAGACCCAGCGCTGGCTGCTATCCTCCAGCGCCGCCGGCTCCTCTCTGAACCACAGCTTGCCCAGGTGAGAGCCTGACTTGATGAGTGTGCTGTAGCCTCCATGCGAGCAGGCCGTCTTCCATGTAGTTGAGGTGACCACTTGGTCGGAAGAGCACACTTTGACGGAAGATGCTGGCGCGGTGTTTTGGTGGCACGTTTCTACTTGCTTGCTTTTCCTTGCTGCTTGCATGAAACGCCATGCTTCCGCATGAGGGCTACTTGGGAGGTTCGGGCACTGTGGGATTCCGTGACTTGCGCAGTACTCAGGAATCAAGCAGTCAGCAGCATCATTCGATGCTCATACGCCCCGGCATTGTCCAGGAAGCGTTGACCGCTATCCAGGACCATACAAGTGCAAGACACAGTGGCAAGCTATCCACAAGCTGCGTTGATCTAAGGCTCCGCACATGTACAGCTTGCCATTCATGGCGGCCCAGCCGTTGTGCAGACACATACTTCAGGGCTCCGGCTGCAAGTGCTGCCGTAAAGGTGCTGAGCCCCCCCCACCCTGCCAAGTTCAACGGAAGCCGACGGGAAGACTTCAAAACTTTTAACTAGGGCAACTAGGGGGTTGTTTCACATCAGTACAGGAGAGGCCCGCGGGGCCAACGAAGCCCACAGATCCAGTGTGTCTCGGCTATTATCGCCATGAAGTCATCGTTTGCAAGGCTTTAAGAATTCGCAGAACATGTTGTCATGCCGCCATCCCTTGACGATGTAGAGCAAGGCAATGCTTCGACATGGCGACAGATTCAGAATCGGAGGAAGAAAGCTCCGCCTCCGACAGTGGTTTGGACCCAGGTGAGGAGCTCAGCTTCCAAACTGACGGACGGAACGCATACTCGTTCTCCGCTTGCTGGATGTGGACCTTCTTAGGCCACATGCCCGCGCAAAGCTCTGAGTCGACGTGCATCGGTGACGAGGATCCGTGTCGTGTGAACAGGTGCAGTGGAGCTGTGTAGGTGACAGTTTTCATCTTGAGATCTACGGGTGACTTCAAGAATGGCGAACTTCTAAAAGGATGATTGCTCTGAGTCTTTGCACACAGGACATCTCATCATGCGGCGAAAGGCATCTCGGATCGCTTCTTTCTAGCCTTCCAGTATGTTTCCTTAGCCTGTCAAACCTCGTCTGACTTGTCGAGCACGAGTGACAAAAATGTTGTCGTTCAAGCAAAAAGATATTGTGACTAGTTGAGGATGTAAATTCTGTTAGCGGGACTCGAGGGACTTGTTGCGTAGCACCGCACCTGTTTAGTTGCATGGCAGTTGCCCTTTGAAAGGCCGCGGACCCGTGTTGCTGCCGATGCGCTGCAGGACTCCTCGTGAACAAAGTCGGCAGGTGTCCGGGGCAGGCTTATCCCGCCCGCAAGGATTCCACCCTGGCCGGCGAAGTTCGTGCAGCTGAATTGATGTGGCGCGGACAGCAATGGATAGATTCAGATACAGCCTCCTGCTGAGTTTGGGCACCCAACATGAACGTTCTTGCTCAGTTCAATTCCGACAGGCCTTGGGCAATACTTGCTACACAAGTGCGTGTTTTTGCTGAGGACTGGCCTGACTCGAGCAGCGACCGTTGCAGAGCTGCGGCTAGCAGTGCAGCAGAGGCAGCTGAGCAGCACATTTTTGAGGAACTGACAGAAGCTGTTCCTCCAGAAGTTAAGGATTTCTTCGGAGGAGAACGTCACACTGCTTACTGCATCTGGCGGTGCATATGTGCCACTGCTTGACGACGAAGTCATCGGCGGCCTATTCGAAGATGTTGAGGAGTCGCAGCCAGGGGAACTTGCTTGGAGGCAAAAGCAAAGCCCACAATTGGCACACTTATGAGAGCATGGACTTCAGATGTTGCCGCAGCAAGCTCGCTGTGTAGCTCCCCAGTCCCAATTGCAGTAGGCGCGAACTAACGTCACCGACAGGATGTGGTGATTCAAGGGCATGTCTTCGTGCTGTCTGGGGCCAGATCTGGGTCAGAGGCGACAAGGCCACTTCTCCGCGGAAGCACCGACGCTTTTGCAACATGTTGGGATATTTGTTGGGTGCGGCAGGCCAAGCATCTTGGAGGCGGAAAATGCCCAACTCCGGGCGCAGATCGCCGTGCTGGAGAGAAGTGGCACGGCACGAGAGGTTGTGCGTTTAGCTTATTGGATCCACTCGTCCTTGGCGTCTTGGATTGCTGCTCA